ACCTCGTTCAACAAACTTTTGTCTTTGCAATTGAACTGCAAATGTAGCCTCACATCCACACATGTATGGTAAAGGTCGCAGTGACCTGGTTTTTGTACGCTGCTCACCTTCTCCCCAAGATGTGTAAGTATACCAAGTTTGGTAGCGCTAGGTCAATTAAGGGCCAAGTTAGAGAGCGGAAAGGAAATATGATCAAGGTCAAGGTAAAGGTCAAATGAAGGTCGCAGTGACCTGGTTTTGGTACGCTGCTCACCTTCTCCCCAAGATGTGTAAGTATACCAAGTTTGGTAGCGCTAGGTCAATTATGGGTCGAGTTATAGAGCGGAAGGGAAATTTTCTGCGGCGGACCGAGCGGCGGCGGCGGCTGGGGAGACATGAAACCATAGTATCCCCGCCGACTTCGTCGCGGGGGATACAATTAATACAAGATACAATCTTGTGAAGCTAGCAGTTAAAAGTTAGGGAAAACACTACTTGGTTCGGTGATCTGTGTAATTCTTCTGCCCTTTGTTCTGTGAAAAATACCAGTTAAAACGATATGCAATTTGTAAATAATACACCACATCATTACATGACACATGTAGATGATCATGTTACGTACATAGACTTCGGAAGTGGGTCTGCAACATAGGAAGAGCCGACATTGACGGGTTAAAAGACAGCCAATGCAAATGTAACGAAGCTGATTTCACCATGGCTTATTAATTACAATTAGCTTGGCCATGAGGCCAGGTGGGTCGCGTTGGCGACAAGCCAGGTGGAATAGATGAGATATTCGGAGCGCGCACGGTGCGGGCTGAGGGTAATGATAGTACTAGTAGTAGCAATAAGGTGAATAACGACGTCAACAGAGGGGCCGGAGTGCTGCGGGATAATCTGTTATCACCCGCACCCGGCGCACGTCAGGAGGAGGAAGGTCGAACAACAAGTCCTGTTAGATTTAAGAGCGCTGCGAGCAGGAGCAAGGAGAGGAGGTCTGCTCTCTACTTGTTGTAGACATTATTGTTGCTGGTTCTGGTCGCGGAAGGAGGCACACGCGCGTATGCGCGTGTGCGCGTTCTTTGTCTGTGTGTATGGAGATGTGATGTGTTTAAGATATTAAAGGTTGAACAGTTTACCACACAAGTTCTGGATCTACTTCATCATTTCTATGTGAACGCACATTATTGTTTACATTTTGTGCCTCCTTCCGCCTTCACCATATAATTGAAACGCGTCATGCCTTCATTTCATTGTAAACGCACATGGCGTTTACATTTGGTGCCGGACCACAAGAACTGAGTATTCCTTTGCAACACAACGCAGGAGGAGGGAGAAGATGAAAAAGACGAATCTACCGTGTATGATGCACGCGCCGAACATTGAGTAAACACAACGCAGGAGAAAGGAGAAGATGAAGAAGAAGAAGAGGAAGACAGAAGAAATGAACATTGATATATAAGACAGAACATTCGCATAAGTACGACTGGGCTATCGAGCAAACATATACGATATCACGCTGCGACAGGCGCATCACGCTGAAGTATTGATCTGACCAACAGCCGTCGCCTAGCAACCAACCGCTGCTACCACAGCCTCCAATCACCAGCAGCTTAAGACCGCGACGGAGAGAACGCACTTCAAACTTATATCTGCTAATTTGCGAGGATCATTTTGAGGCATCTCAATTTATGTGTCCAGCTGACAAGGGTAAAAATCACTGGCTGCTTTGAAATGTGATATGAGAAGAAGAAGAAGAAGAAGAAGAAGAAGAAGGAGAAGAAGCAGCCGAGGACAAAGAGAAAGAGGAAGGAGCGTTACTTTTCAGGTCTAGGTAGGAAGAAGAAGAAGAAGAAGAAGAGGACGAAGAGAAAGAGGAAGATAGCGTTATTTTTCAGGGCTAGGTAGGAAGAAGAAGAAAAAGAAGAAAAAGAAGAAGAAGAAGAAAAAGAAGAAAAAGAAGAAGAAGAAAAAGAAGAAGAAGAAGAAGAAGAAGAAGAAGAACGTGAGAGAAGAAGACGAAACCAGCGACGTGTTACTTCTTCAATATTAATCTAGCGGTGATCGGATCTGCTGCATATACGAACGCAGAGGAATTATTTGTGAACTACTAAGAATCAATAAAGCTATAACCGTACAGTTAACCGAATCTCACTGTGTTCTGTTCAGCTGGTGCTACCTGTTATCCGCTACGTGACATCACCGTCCTGCCTAATACAACGGCAGGAGCGAACACTGAATCCCAACAACTGGGACACACGTTAACGAAACAACGTCTGTCGTACCGTAGTCGCTACCCCTAGGGCCACTACAGTAACACACCATGCACCTACATAGAATTTCACATTAAATAAGCGATCGTTGATCTCCGATAGGGTCCGAAGTACGTGATATATGGGTACTCCTGTCACCACAACAAACTAAGGGCATCACAAACAATTGATAACACATACCACCAATTTACAACATTAAATGTTCATCATTTTTGTCAAATACTAAATGAAATTTAGTATGGAATTAAAATGATTGTCGCATAACTATAACCCGATTTCATTGAAAATAATACTGCTAAGTGTTCTCCTTTGAACATTTTTAACAACATTTTCTGTGAACTACTTTACTGTTCAAACTTTAGATCGTATCCTTTAAAAAAATAAACGTCACGTTCACACGTTTTTGCCATTTCTGATTTAACTAGAACTGGCACCCGGGTGGGGGTGGGGGGAACTCCCTACAAAATAAGGTAGGTATGTGCTACTTGAGAGATGGAATTGGGGGGCTCCGATACTAGGGATTGCTGGAAAGCATGATGCTCTGGAACTGGACATG